GGAAGACAATGTCGAACGAAAAAAAAAAAAAAAAAATTCAAATCAAAACACAAATAAAAAAAGAGAGAGATAGAAAAAAAAAAAGTAGAACAGTATAACAGCGAACACAGAGAACAGAACAATATTGAAAAAAAAAATTAAAAAAATATAAGTCTCTAAATAGTAATATGATGTTTATAACAATGAACACATACAACATGAGATAACATATGAACAAATGACTAAAGCAACCTTTATTTTTATCCATCAACAATATTTTCATGCAAATGAAAAAATAGTTGTCAAAGAGGGAATGTTGAAACAAATAGAAGAGAGAGAGAAAGAGAGAGACAGAAGAAAAAAAAAACAGACAGAGAGAGAGAGAAAGAGGGAGAGACAGAGAAAGAGAGAGACAGAGAGACAGAAAGACAGAGAGAGAGACAGAAAGAGCGAGAAAGAGAGAGATAGAGAGAAAGATAAACAAAGACCGAAAGCGAGAAAACTCAAAAAGTGTCAAAAGATATAGAATTTAAGCATTTGATCATAAACCCATTCAAATGTCATCATCATTAATGAAATGAACAATGTGAAAGGACGCATTCCTGCTCGTCATCCCACCCCACGTCTGCGTTCTCCCTCCCACTCTAGCTCCTCCCTCTCCTACTATTCTCACTCGAACACCAGTCAATGCATATGCGACTACAAAAAAAAAAAAAACACTATTCATCTACATCGTCCTCCCCACGAAGTTCCCTTCTCCTTTCTTCCATTCCGAACTTCTCGTTATCATCAACAACAACATCTCCATGGGGATAAAGGTTTGTCATGTTGTTACACGTAGGTGTAACAACCGTCAAATCATTTATGTTTCTATAGTCCCCCTTTGTCAAATAACTTAGGCGGCCACACCTTGGACATCGATGCCGCAGAGCTTCAACCAGTGCAAGCACCACCTCATACAATCTGGTCTCATGCTTTTTATTTATGCTCGCGAGAGCATTCAATTTCTTTTTTACATGACTCATCTCCTTCATAACCCCCACCGGCGAATGAGCAACAATGATATTTCCTAACAAAATTCTGAGATACAATTGTTCCTTGTACCTTGCCATCATGCCATCCGTCAGTCCCTCACCGCACTGATCCGAGAAACTATGTTGATACACAGTGTCCATTAACTCTTCTCGTGCGTCTTTGTACAATTGTCCGAGAGTAACAACTGTCGCTCTCAACTGGCTATCGCTTACCGAAAAACTCACTGTATTTTGCACCTCAAAAACCGCATTTCTATGTGCAAGTTCCACACCAACTGTTCGCAATGATTGCAACATACCAATCAAACAACTTTTCGGAAGCTCTTCTAAAGTTCGACCTGATGGAAGCTCAAACACCTCTGATGCAAAAGAAGGATCAATCGATGACAAGGCACCTCCCGACAACAATTTTCTCTATACACTCTCGGCTGTTTCACAGCGTAGACGCAAATACTCACACTCTTGGGACAGATGGGGATCAACTTTAGTACTAAGCTCAACAACTTGGTCAAGCAAGTAATTTCTAATCGAGAATTGGATTAAAGACGTAAATTGCCTGACAATGTCATCGCCAACATTCTCCTCCTTCTTCCCATCCACACTACCGGACAAAAAACAATCTCTCACCTCTTCACTTCGTTTTCTTTCCAGGAAACTTTCAAGCACTGATCGTGCATTCACCTCAATTTTTGCGAATGCACTCCTCAGGACAGTCACTTCCTCCTCCTTCTTCTTCAACATCCCAAGCAACTCGTCCTGAGTCCACCGAAGGCCTTCATTGTCAGTCAAATAGCGGCCGCATTCTCCTTTCAATGCGGAATCGTTCGGAACCTTACCTGCAATACCATAAGGCACTTTAGACTTACGTTGAAGCAGACACTGCTCCATGTCATGAATTTGCGAAGCCATGCCATACTCGTATCGTTCACCACATGCCTCAAGATATTCCCTCTCCGTGCGAGCATCGGCGAGCCATTTTCCAAATAGACCATCCCCATCACTACGTGCCCGAATTTGCCTCAGCACATTGGACCATGATATTCCTTCCACCGGCCTATCTACCTGGCTGTCGACCACCATATTCATTTGAGTAGATGCTTGTCCATCTGCGGAGACCACCATGAAAAAGCAATCAACCAATTAATGTATCAAATTGATTGATTGATCGAAAAGAGAGAGAGAGAGAGAGAGAGAGAGAGAGAGAGAGAGAGAGAGAGAGAGAGAGAACAAGCACAAAGAAAGAAAAAATGATTGATTGATTGATTGATTGATCAATCAATGGATTAATTGATCAATTGAGCAAGAAAAAAAAGCCTCCGTTGTGTCAACTTCGTCCAACAACTGTCGAGGCCTCGATTTTGAATTACAACTGGGTGTATGCGTCGATGCAAGAAAAGGCTCCATCGTGCTGACTCCGTCGAACCCTCAACTTCCAATTAGAAAAAAAAAAAAAAAAGCTAATAAGCACGTAACCCCATCCTACACCCAAACCCGACAAGCAGCTTAGGCCCGGTCATGCACCGTACACCGACAGTGCACGCCCAATCTGGGTGTATTTACGGCCTGGGCTTTTAAACCACCAGTACTTGCTCCAGCTATCAATGCCAAGCCTGAATATGCCCTACCCGCTGATTTTCGGCGAACCTGTGTGTGCGTGTGTGTGAGAGAGAGAGACAGAGACAGACTCTTCTGAGAGAGAGAGAGAGAGAGAGAGAGAGAGAGAGAGAGAGAGAGAGAGAGAGAGAGAAACAGAGAGAGAGAGAAACAGAGAGAGAGAGACAGAGAGAGAGAGAGACTTTTTGCTTACCGTGCT